ATCAGAGCCTGAATGAGAAAAGCATCACAGATGCATGCTGCATTGGACAAAGAACACATGCATGCATTTAAATCATGTATATCTTACTTTTTACTGATGTAATTGTGAAATATGTCCTTTTTGCATTCATAATTAGGGGGTGGAACAGATGGTGAAGGCTTAGTTTAAAATAATCTGTCATTAAAATAACCCAGCCTACTGGTAATTCTTCACTCTAACTGTAGTTTAGGTCAGGGTAACAGGGTTTTTTTAAGCATTGGAATACACTAGAAAGAATTAGGGACTTCATGGATAGTGTGAAATATGAGGATATTCTCCAGAAGGACACCGTAGTAAGAATCCAGTGAATTAAATTTGCCTGTAGTGGGAATATGCAAAAATGGCTGGGACAAAATTCCTCTGACAAATATAAATCCATTTACTATGATGCATTATACATAAGTGCATATTCGGTCAAAGTGGTACACTAGGTTTCATATCCTGAAAGGAAATAACCTCACTATGCTTCAAATACTGTAAAAGGCAGTGAGTATTTTGAGCTAAAAATCTGTGCTTTACATTTTTGTATTATTCTGATGTCAGAGGATATAAATTATAATAATTTGCATTATTGTTCTGGGGTGCTGTAGCTAGTGACTTTTAAATCTGAGTCTCACTTCCTTCGTGTCTACCACATTGACTTGCTCGTATGTGACAAAGAGAAACTTGTATCAGGCCTGCCTGGCTAATTTAGAACAGTTTTCAGAAAAAATAAAACTGTTTCAATAAATCACATACTTGCATGTCTTTAAAGCATTTATTTTAGTGTTCCCTTCAAGATTTCATTCTTTAACAGCTTTGAAGAGAGCATATAGATTTCAGCATGGTATTATGATAAATCTTCTTGAGGAGGGGCAAGCATTAACATTTGTGTCGGTTCTTTTTCATCTTAATCCAACCTTGGTTAATAATCAGAAAATTCTACATAGTGGGTAAGAAGATGTAATTAACCCTTTGACCCCAGAATCTTAATTGGCGCCTGTTGAAAACAGTGGGGCAGTTAAAAAAAAATAAATTAAAAAGTAGCCTGTGGTGATTGAAACAGCATAATACATAATGGTTTTCTGAAATCAAAAGTAATAGAGAGCTTCAGCTTTAATCACATTTTGCATAAAGCCAGTAAGTGTAGTTTTAAACAAGAAGTTGCCAGTCTACCTTAAATTGGATTGTGCTCAAAATTGGCATTTGAGGTCACCCTGACCCTTTCTCAGCTGCCACACTAGATGAGATAGTTGACTGTCATAAACCTACAGTCAACTTCATTTACTTTATAATATAAAAGAGAGAAATTAAGTCAAGAAAATTTTCCTTGTATTCATGGTCTTTCCTTCTGTGAAAATAGGACATTAAGAAAACACAGTTACCTTTTCAGACCCTATTTTTATATTATAGTTAATTCTGGAATGTCCAAAACAGAAAACCTTCTGCCTGTGAACTACACTGAAACTCTTCAGAAATTCTGGCTGGAAAGCACTGTGGTGCTCCTTTCAAAAGTGATATTTAAAAGCTGACTCAATCCACTACTCTTCTTCCATTTATTTTGTCCTTAGTTATACGTAAGTAATATGAATAATACTTCCAGATATTTCTCATTAAAACAAAATTGTTTGTGAATATGTAGTATACAGTGGCATCACATACACTTCTCCAGTATATAACATAACCTGTGTTATGTTGCCTTGCACCTTCTCTGATGTCTGCTGCTCTCTTGGCATGCACAAAGGACGTACGCTTTATGAAAAATTGAAAAATTTCAACACGCATTACTTAAATAATAAATATTCATAAATAATACCTATGAATAACGAATGAGGCAGTCCTTCAGAACTACTGTTTGACCTGTAAAGGGAACAACAACATTGTCACAAAAGTGGTCTGTCTCAACCCTTTCATACTGGTGGGAGGAACTGCCTTGCATTGGAAGATGGCTATTTCTCCTCCCATTTTTATTGTCATTTTTCTTGGGTATTGGATTCTGAGCTTAGTACTTGGGGCTTTTGTTCTAAGGTCTTTGTATTTTGGGCATGGTAGGAGTTAGGTGTCAGTTAGCTGTTAGTCGGTGGCTCTTTCAAAATACAATTAAATAAACTTCCTCATTTTGTTCTACTGAACAAAATGCTGAATTTGGTCAGTAGTTGCACATAAGCATAGCTTCAGAGTGATGGAAAAAGAAATGGAGAAAGAAGGACCATGACTCATTAGTCTCAGCTGGCTTAATGAACAAATGTTATGGCACAGGAAGTGACTAATCACGTCCAAAGGTGTTGGTTTGCTGCACTGGCCCTGCCAGTCCTTCAGTGGTGCCTCCTCAGTTACCTAACTTGTAAAACTTAGGGGCAAAAGTAAGGAATGTTCTTCCAGAAAGAAAGAGAAAAAAAAAAGACTAAACTAATAAAGCTAATAAAGTAAAGCTATTTAAAGGAAAGGAGAGAATCAGAGTTAATGGCAAGGAAAAGTAGCAAGTGCTTAAGATGACTAACACTTCTCATTTCAACATCCTTCCAGCTGCTGATGACTTTCAAACTTTAGCCGTGGAGGCTGAAATTTCTTTGAACTATGTCAGCTAGAGATAGCTTGTTTGTTTATATTTTTTCCACCAAAACTGGTTTCAGCCAATTTCAAAACTACACTGAGCTTAATCAGTACTCAAAGCTTTCTTCAAACTTGTTTCATTAAGCCTAAATTCCTAAATAAGATGATGTGTATAAAAGAAGCAGAAAATACATCAATGACTCAGAGAATTATTTTTTCTGGTTCTTACAAAACTTTGTCTAGATATGCCAGATAATTACACACTAATACAGTGTGCTAAGCAGACCAGATCACAAATGTGCTTAAACTGTATGTCATTCTCTCACATAACAGAGCAAAGGAGACACAGAAAAAGCTATATAAAAAACCTGACATGATGGAAGTTGTTCTTATATGATACACAAATAACCTATGAAACATTTTTTCTCAAGAAAGGAAGATATCACAATCATGCCAACTACTAAGAAGGGGTTAGTAAGAAACTCTGGTAGACTTGTCATTGCCAGTGTGGCTATTCCACTGTCCTGAAGCATCTCTGTACATCCTGTCAGAGCCAGGGAAACTGACTGCTGCAGATAGGCCTTTAGTCTGAGTCAGTGTGACAATTTCTTCTTGTTGGTAGAGAATGGAATTCTGTATAGGTGGCCAGGGAAACAGTTTCATGGTTCTCAGCTCAACAGAGGCTTAAACCAGTTTCCTCAAAGGAACATGGGACAGAGAATCAGGAGCACTTTAACTAAGACCTTTAAAGATTTGCTTTTCTGAATAAGAGATTGTACATAGTGAGAGAGATCAGATGTGCAAAGGTTTTGATTGTCCTGGTATTGATCTAAGTTTGAACTTCACTGTTCCAAATTTTCCACCTGTTATTGATGTTAAAAATTCAAGGAAGTGATGTTAATAATTTGAGAAAGAAATTATGATGATTTATAAGAGGCCATAAATTACTTGCATAATATAAATGTTTTTACATGAAGGAGAGCCATGCAGATTTACATTTTTATTAATTCATAAATATAAATTAGAGTCTTTTTTAATGCAGTGTCTTTAGTGAGGGTTTGTTTTCCAATATGCAGTCTATTATTTTTAGAAAACTCAGATTTTGCACTAATTCCAGCACCTACTACATCAGAGGGGGGTGAACTTTTGCCAAAGACAGCTTTTGACTAGCAGCCTGTTAGAAATTAGTCAAGAAGCAGAAGAATAAAAATATTAAAATCCATCAGAAATCACTGTGTTGTATTTGCAAAGGAGTGATTACATGATTTTGTCATCACGTATCTCCATCAAATTTATGTGCTTTTTCCTTCCAAAACAAGGTTAATCTTTCAAATGCTACAGTTAATTTTTCCTTTACATGTTCTTTTTCACAAGGAGATATTTGGGATGGGATTTTGGGGATTTTTCCTTGTTCCTCCCAACTGTTTCATACTTTCTGAGCTGTTTAGCACTTCTAATTTCTAGAGTGTTGTAGTTTTACTTTTGCAATAGTCTATGATTTTTTGCCAAATATCATCCTCATAAAAAGCAGAAAGATAAAGACATGGATGGTGTATAAAGGTAGTTTCTTCCTAGTGTAGATTTACTCTTATTCCTAGAAGTATACTCCCTTCTGGAGTGATTTACCATGTGTCAGTTTAGAATGTAGTCCTCTGTTTATTAATTTCACTCATGTTTCAAAAGGTATGCATTAATTGCTTTTGTAATTGTATTTTGATTTTTGCAGTTGCAATGGAAACCACATCCAAAGACTTGAACCTGTCAAAGAAAAATCAGATATAGACTTTTACACCAAAAGGATGAAATTCATAGCATTTCTAGAGACCTAAGCTGTAAACACATTTGACAGTAATCTGCTGATTGGCTTTGTTGTCTCACAAAAGGAAAATGGTGTGCGTGCATGTGTGTGCATGTGTGTGTAATCCTCAATTAATTTACAAATTATTGAGGTCCACAGTGATTTGAGTGATGGCAGGGTTTTCATTTTCTCCTTTTGAATTTTGGAAATGGAAATTCTCTGCTTTGATTCTGAGCAATGGGGGGTGATTTTTTCTATATATGCTGCTCAATTGGAAGGTTATTTGTTTTCCTTATTTATTTCTTCATGAAAGAAATTATTTTTTTATATTTCTTCTATCAAGAAAATTAGATAAATTTTATACAGTATATGGCAGATATAAGCATGGCAGTAAAATAACTTAGTAATATACTCATCAACTTAGATGTAGTAATATACTCATATTTTGTTTATTAATGTGTAGACAGAATACAAAGAAATTGTCTTAAGAGTTCAAATTAAAAACACTCTCACAAAAGTCAGAATATTTTCCTCAGTTTATTCTGTGATGCCTTTGTTTGAATCTATTTTTATTTGTAGTTTGTAATTCTTTATTAATCTATTCACTTATTTTTTTCCTCTTATTCTGTAGTCCCTGGATGGATTTGTATTTGCACTAAATCAAGAAGGAAAATTTTTGTACATTTCAGAAACTGTCTCCATCTATTTAGGCCTGTCCCAAGTAAGTACATGCTTTCAATTCTAGAACATAACTTACCTGCTTTCAATTTTAGAACATAACTGTGTATGATGCATTCTTCTGTTTATTGTTATTAAGGAAATAATAATTTGGTTCCTGTGTTTTCCATGGATTATTGAATTAGCTGTTTAAAGTTGCATCCTGTTCATCCTGAGACACAGCTGAAAAACGTGTCTATAGTACTGGATGCTGAGATGCGTAAGAAAACTTTTTGCCACAAAGGATCATTATTAATTTATTGAGAACAAATGAAGTTTCTTTTCTCAGTTGTTTTGAACTTTAAACCTCTATACCTGCTAGGAAAGGGACACTCTAATAGTACTTCCCTTGTGTCCTATTACTGGATGTTTATGGAGTACCCTGCATTATCCAGGGAGCTGACACGATGACAGGGAGTCATTTGGAGTCAAGAAATGCTGAAAGAGGCCATTAAAATGTCTTGCAGGGAGGGTTCCAACAAGGACACATTTTGATGCTTTCACCAGTGCTCACTAATGTGAAAAGATGAATTTATAAAATATAGTAATTTGGGGGTTTTTAGTTTGAGATTATTTTTTTTCCATTTAATTGCTGACAACTGTTTTTCAAAGATTAAAAGGCAGGGCAGAAGTGGAGCACAAGTTAGTTGTTAATAGTTATTCCTAATCCTGCAGCATTCAGAAATGTTTAGGCAAGATAGATTCTTTCTGCTTTCACTTAGAAATGAAGCAGAAATATTTTGCATGATGATTTTCAGAGAGTGACCATCTACTTCTACTGCAGTCACCCTGAGGAGGAAAAGAAAAACTGAAATAATACTTATTTCAGCTACTTTAAATTGGGACCTCACAGCTATGAGGAATCAACTATTTGCATAGGCTACTTACTGTCCATTTTTCTGTACCCCACCAACAATTAAATGGGAAGATTTAATATTTGGTGACAAAAAAAAAAGACTCATTTTAAATAGTATCAGGTGAGAATATGAATAGGGACTCACTAAGTCCTCAAAGGACATGCAAGCAATTGGCTGTAGTAAGTTCAGTAATTGTTATTTTGTGCTGGCTTTGGCAAACCCAATGATAGAAATGGAAACAAGAGCTGTTTCTAGCTCATATCACTATTCTTGTCTCTCATTAAAGTCCCTCGTTTTGTAATAGACTTTAATCCCTGACTTAATCTGTTTGGGAGTTAGTAGCAAGAATCTCACATTTTGAAATTGGTGCACCACCATGTTGCTAATACAGTAAAGAATTGGAACTTTAATGTTTATTATTGTCTTATGTTCATATTAATCTAGTTTATGCATAGTATCCAACAAAGTCTAATAAGCCAGTAAAGAAGAAGGATGGATAATTAGTTTAAGCAGGTAAATGCTAATTAGGAAACTCCTGAAAGGCATCCATTATACACTAGCTTAAAACAAATTTTACAGCCCTGGTTAGTGGTGTAATCCAAATTCTGTCAAGGCAACTGCATTTTCTGTAATTGAGATGTGTATGTTTGCTTTGCATAACAGATGGCTCTGTATGCTTAGACTGATAGCTAGGAAAATAATAATTGCATTATTCTGGCCAAAAGAATATTAGCTCTTGGGTTTTGGCCATTTCAGTCAGTCCTCCTGCCAGCACAGCATATGCACATATATGGATTGGATTTTCAAGGAAATTGATGCATCTGGAATAGTGTGGCCATCTGAAATATCATCTGTTCAAGAAAAATTTGGCTTTAACCCTATGTTAGTCTCCTGTTAAAAGCATTTTCTGCCACTGTCTTTCAAACTATAGAGTTGATAAATCTCTCCTTACTCTGAACTCACATCATGTTGTTAAGACTTTACACTCCATCTTGATCCATATACATTTCAAGAAAGGGTTCAGATAAATGAAGCAATTTTCTTTGCATGTTAGAGTATTGGAAATATCAGGGCAAATATTTCCATGTGTTCACCACTGAAAGTACTGATGGAAAAACTACCAAAAATCAGAACCAGTACTGTGATTTTTTTATAGAATAATAAGTTAAACTTACTGAGATTTACTAAAATGCCTGAGTTTTTTGCTTTTCTTCTCTTCTGTCTTTATGGAGACATTTTGTATTTCTAAGACCTACAGTATTTATATATTTTTGATATATTGTTCTCTTGGTACAGCATTATATTGCTAGTCTCTTAATAATTTTAAAAGAAGTGCTGTAGCTACATCCTACTAAATCACTAGCCAAAGCTTATTTGTTGCTAAAAATATTAGCAAGTCTATCCCTAGAACCAAATCTCAAATGTAAATGGAAATGCTACAGTTTTCACCATACCAAACTTAAAATTCTTGTGAATTCTGGATGTCTGGGTTGGTGCTATGTGATACATGTGGTTTTGTATTTCTCGCACTGCAAGTAAACATTGATATACCTTATGCTGATACTCCACAACTTTATATTTATATAGAACCTCCAGGCAGAGTTGCACTTAAAGGCATTATGATGTACATTATTATTTGAAATAGCTTCATTAATGCTGCCTTTGTAGTCTTACTTTCTAGTCAAAATATTTCTCCAAGACTGCATCCTTGTGTGGTGCTGTTTTGTTTTTTTTTGTTTGTTTGGGTTTTTTTTTGGTTTTTTTGTTTCTTTGTTTTGGTCTGGTTTTTGGGGGGATTTTTGGGGTTTTTTTTTGGTTTTGTTTGTTTGTTTTAGTTTTTATTTTTTAACTAGCATGCGTGGAAATAATGTAAATTATATTTTGTATTTGAAAAGCAAAATCTCATGTCTCCTAGATAAAGGAAAATAGTTCTTGTATTGAATCTCAGCAGGTGACAACAGTTATGGTAGTCAATTTTACTCTTTTCTGAACATTTAGAGCCAGTGGTGCAAAACAAATGGATGCCAATGTTCTAAGATAGCTGCAGGACTAATAGTAAACAAATCTGATAAAACAATATCTTGGAAGGTAGCCTGAAAATTATGATAATAAAGTTACCCCTGGCAAAAGTAACAGTATATTTGAACAGTAAACAAAAATTGCAATAAATACCCTTTTGACATTACAATGAATATAACTTATATGTAGACACCCATCAACATATATATTTTGAATCATTTGTTTGCATAATTTATCTTCACGCTAATTCTAACCAAGAATTTTAAGCTAATTTGGCAGATATATATTTCAGACTGCACTGTGGAATTACAATCTGATCAGTTTCAGAGAACAGAGTTACATTTCAAAGTTTAGGAAATGAGAGTTAGCTGAATATAATAAGTGAGAGAAGGTAAAGACTCAAAGCAAGAGAAATGGATCAACAATCTCCCAGTTAAAGAATCTATGTATATTGGCTTTAGACTATGTAATAGTTGTATTGTAATAGTTCAGTTATACTTGAGGCAAGCTGAAATAGGTGAACATACTTTTCAGTTCTTTTATGGACTGTAGTATTTGTTGAAAGACCCAGAAATGTCTAGAAATGTGTAGTGTGGCCAGGATTTCTTCTTTGGGTTGGACAACATGATCTGTGGTGGTTTAGCCAATAAAAACATCTTTTTACAGTGGATCTCTGTAGTGATGTAAAAATGTTTTTTCTTCATATATATCTAGTCCCATGCATTTTCCAAGTCAGTAGGTAATTTTTGATATCAGGGTAACTTCCATGTTTAAAACACTCAGTCCCTGATGTTCTTTTACAAATGGGATGAGATTTCAACAGAAAATGGCTAACCACTGAAGAGACATTCAAACCACTCCTTCCAACACTTAGAAGTCAGTGTGAGTGCTTCCCTAACAGATTTCAATTCTCTTGAAAAGTGTCTGTGTTTGAGGCTTGGACCAAACACATGATGAAACATAAATAGTAACAAAAAGGGAGAAAAGTCTATCCAGAAACAGATAGAATAAAAATGTGTTATCCAGAAAGGATAAAATTACCTGACGTATGCTGTTTCAGTTTCAGTAAAAAAAGTTATGAGCTAATAATCTGGCTAGGATGCTTCTGCATTCAGGAAACAAGTTCTTAATAATCTCTTACAATAGTTGTACTCAGCAAGGATGGTATGTATTGTTTCCTGCCTGTGAGGTCCACGTCTTAAAGTAAAATATTTCCTACCTTTGCTCCACCTTGCCCAGGACACAGAGCAGATTGGCCTGTTGAAAAGAGAGCTCACTAAAAATGAACAGTACAGCTGCTGGTGTAATAAGAGATAGATAATAGAGATGAAAAATAAAGAAAACAAGAATAAAATTTTGAGAATGTATACATTTGAAAATAAAGCAGGCAAAACCAACAAGTATATTACATGCTTACTCTGTTACCAGTAGCATAACATATTTCCTTATTTTGGCTTTCTGTACATTTGTTCTATGAAATGGCAAATAAAATTATAGCTACAGCACACAAGTACAAGGTCAAATAAATGACAGTACTCATTCTATTTGTGAAGCTATTCTGAAAAGGAACCATGGTGCCAAATGTGGTTTATTTGAATAATAAAGAAGAATTAGATTCCCCTGATAACTTGGCTGAGGGCCAATAAATCACTGGAGGTTAAGAATGCTTTGCAACTGCCATGTATTCCTTTTGCTTTTACGAAGCACAAACCTCAACAACTATGCTCTACCTGTTTTTCAATGCAAATCAAGTTGAGGTTAGTAGATGGTTAAAGGATTGCTTTTGTGCTCTGTTTGCTTAAAAAATAATATAAAGCAATCTTGACACTTGCATTGATTCTGTAAATTGTGTCTTATTCTCCTCTTATTTGATTAACAAAATGATAATAATAATAATAATAATAATAATAATAATAATAATAATAATAATGCAGAAATAATTAAAAATCCAGAACTTGAAATTTTTTTAAGCAAAACTAGACAATAACCAATTGTCACCTTACTCTTTTTTTGTGATGTTGTCATTGTTTTAGTGTTCTGAATTTAAATACTTCTACATAAAATGATCACTTGTACTCATACAGTAAATTGGTACACTAGCACTGATAATTTTTTAAGTTTTTCCCCT